CAAGCTGTCAAGCTGAGAACTTACAAGCCTAGAAAGGAATGAAAACCACAGGCCTGCAATCCAACAGACACATTTGACCACAGTCCTGGGTATAAGGATTTATCAGATGGAACAAGATGATCAAGGGACTGTGGACGGAAAGAAGGACAAGGGTTGAAGATTGACAGTTCGAACATTAAGAGGTCAGAGCTTGGGGAATATTAAGTTCAGGTATGTGACTTGTTTTGTTTTGAGACAGCGTTTCTCTGTAGCTTTGGAGCTTGTGTCCTGGAACTCGCTTCTGTAGACCAGGCTGGCTTTGAACTCACAGAGATTCACCTGTCTCTGCCTCCTGAGTGCTGGAATTAAAGGTGTGCGCCATCACCGCCTGGCCAGGTGTGTGACTTTTGTTTACGCTGCATTTGTTTAACTCTCTGAAGCAATGCTACTGTGCCTGTCTAAAACACCTGAAGGTTTTATCAAGAGAAGAATGGTCAGTAGTGAGGCAGGAGCAAGGATAGGCAGGGCTGGCAGGCTAAGAGGATAAATGGAAGGAGAAACAAAGAGATGCAAGAGAACAAGGAGAGGAAGACATTAGGGGCCAACCACCCAGTCACACAGCTACACAGCAAGCCACGGAGTAAGGAGGAAAGAAAGATATACAGAAATAGAGAAAGATAAAAGCCCTAGGCAAAAGGTAGTTGGGATAATTTAAAGTTAAGAAAAGCTGACAAGGAACAAGTCAAGATAAGGCTGGGCATTCATAACTAAGAATAAGCCTCTGTATGTGACTTATTTGGGAGTTGGGTTCCTCAAAAAGACAAAAAAGTAAAAACAACATACAACTGTCAGACAGAATTGAAGGAAGCAGGACATAAGTCATGGGTTTCACAGAAAACCAAAAAGCCAGACATGGAGGCACATGCCTTAACTTCCAGCAGAGTTTGAGGTTATCTTGGTATATATAGCCAGTTCCAGGACAGCCAGGACTACACAGAGGCACTGTCTCAAAAAACAAACAAAAAGAAAACTAAGATGATATCATGAAGATTAAGTCAAGAAATTATATAAAGGAATAGAGGGATTGATCGTTTGTGTGAATGGCTCCTAACAGGCTAAGAAAACAACTCAAATCATTAAAGTTAGCATGGTGAAGTCAGGCGTGTGAGCTGCTCTGCCTCTAATCCCAGAAGTCAGGAGGCAGAGCCAGGTGGATCTCTATGAGTTTGAGGCCAGCCTGGTCTACAAACAGAGATCCAGGACAGACAGGAGATTCTATCACAAAAATGCCAATAATAATGAGAATAATTATAAATATGTTATTCTTAAGCATGATAATTACAGGTAGTCTCTTTTCCTTTTTCCTTTAAATTTTATTCTGATAATTAGTATTTTTGTACAGTAATAGGTTCCAAAGTCTGAGGTTTAGATGAACTGAGATCCAGACAAGAGAAAAATGAGACAGCATATAACTGTTTTTAGTTTTGTTAGAAATGATAGTCAATAATATAAAAGAGGGATTGAAAAATGTATAGCTGCCATAGTGGGGGAACTGCTCAATCTAGTGCCTAACTGGGAGGGAGGTCCATACAGTCCTCAACTCAGGGTAAGACAGGATTTTAAAGATAGATGTTGGGGATCTCCAGCTCTGGGCCTCATTCCAAACCCTGCTCTCAGAGCACCAAGCAGCAGTTCACTCAAGCTGCCCTCTCCAGACCTGGCCCAAAGAAAGATCGCCAAGCAGCGGCTCCACCCCTAGACGGTATTTAAAGGCTGGCCCATAAACCCACCCTTGTGGTTTTCCCTCTGGCTTCTCTTTCCCGGGACCACCTGGGAACGTTCTGATCAGATGAAACTTGGATTTATTAATTTGGCCTGATTTGACTTATTGCATCAGTGGAGCTACTCACCACTGGAGTGGAGTTACTCAACACTGGAGTGGAGTTACTCACCTCTGGAGTGGAGTTACTCACTACTGGAGGATTTCTACCTTCAATAGTCTCAGTATGTAGACCAGGCTGGCCTCAAAACCAAGAACCCACCTGCCTCTGCCTCCTGAGTGCTGGGATTAAAAGCGTGTGTCACCTTGCCCAGGAGGATGGAAACTTTAATACTAACACCTCTGTCATAATCTGTCACCAAAGAACACTGGCTAAAGTTTAAACCGGTCGGTAATGGGGAGAAACCCAAGAACTTGGGAGAGTTAGTCCCTGAAAGAAATTTCTTCAACAGTGAAATCTAGCCTTCTTGCAGCCATCCCCACTAAAGGGACCAATCACTTTGGGAGTGCAAGCAGCCTTCCCGGAGATTGTCACACCTATGCAGTTCCAAGGTTTCAGGGTGCAGTTCCCAGGTCAGAGACCGAAGGACAGCCCTGAGACAGCGTGGAGAACCCACGTAGGAGGAAGGAGGGGGGGGGGCTCCAGGAGCACGGATTCTGCAGAATCCTGCAGTCCCACCACGGAATCTGTGCTCCAAGAGCCTCCAAAAGGAAGAGCTCGGCCTCCTGCGAGCGTGGGCATGCGCATCTACCTCTCCCCGCCTTTGGTGGCCTAACCAACCCTTGTGCTACACGCATGCGTGGTAGATGAGACTCACCAACTTTCCGGCTATCACGCGGTGACAACCTTATTTTGTGGTCTGTCTGCACAAGCTGGCCAGAATGAGGTTTTTGCAGAACATGAGGAGCAGTCGGACGTACTGAATGTGACTGATCTGGGCTAGCCTCACACCCATCACTGCTCTAACCCGATCCCCAAGAACACTAGTTTATTCCAGACCTGCATCCCTAGGTCAGAGGATAGAGAGCCATGAGGCGATTTTTCCTTAAAAAGACTCTCACACCTACCCGTTTGGCTTGTGAGGTGGGGAGGAACGTGGGCACTGATCTCTATAACAGTCTTACCTGAAGCTTCTCTGAGCTTGATTCCAGGGCTGACACTACAAAGGGCGGCATAGAAACCTTTGAGAATGACAGGGAGCCCCTCCCTTACACGTGGGCGGCTGATGTAGGGTCTCTGTCACAAAAGGCCGCATCCATGCATGTCCGGTGACTTTGCCATACCTGGCCTCCTTGTAGCTGTGTGGCTGGGTTTTCATCTCCTGGAGGAAGGAAGGACATAAGATTGAAATAGGATTAACAAGTAAATATGTAGAGCAACCAATTAAAATTCAGTTTCAGGGAGAGGGAAAAGATCTTGAAGTCGTGGGTGTTTGTTGTTTGTTCTGTTAGTTACGGTTGTTCTTGTTTATTTGGGCCTTGGTTTTGTTTTGTTTTGTTTTGTTTGTGAGACAGAGTTTCACACATAGCCCGGGTTAGCCTAGAAATTCTGACACAGCAGAGGATGACGAACTTCTTCTCTTCCCAAGTGCTGGGATGACTGATGTAAAAATGTCACCATGCTTGGTTTTGCTAGTACCAAACCCAGGGCTTCCGCCGTGCTAGGCAAACACTCTATCAACTAAGCTACATCCCTAGGCCTACACCCGCATTTTCTTTTTTAGTACTGTGTCCTAGTATTTAAAATTCGAAGCTAATTATTTTATCAGCCCCATCTTAAGGTAGTTAGGCGAAGCCACACAGACAAGCCTTTAGAACGGCAGCAAAGGATGGAAACACTAAATTTGGTGTGTATCGCTCTTGCCCCCTCTTCTGACACACATCTCTCATCAGATTGTAAGACTCCAGAGACCAACCCTCAAGAGACCCACTGTCGTCAACCCTCCCACCCCCACCCTTCCACAACCCCCCAAGCCCCGCTGCAATGTGATGGCGACTTTCCCCTGTCCCCGTGCCTCCTAGCACTGGCACATTTGCTGAGCAAGTTTCAGGTTCTTAGAGAGGTCGGTGGTGTCAGTGAACCCCACAGATGTGTGAGTTGGGGGAGGGGACTTGGAGAGTCCAATGCATTATGATGCTGGAGCCAGTGACTCACCTTCTATGGAAACCTGGAAGTGGAGTTTGTCTCTGGAGTCCTCTGGATGGTGCAGGTGTGGAGGGAACGGGAAGTGAACCGGAAGCCCATGGTATTAGCCGCCGTTAGAGACAGGTATTCCCAGCCGAGAGGAAGTGCGATGAACGGCCCTGCTCGATACTGCTCCTGCTGAGATCGCGAAGATGTCTGCTAGCTGTAAGACAGGACTATCGGGTCTGAGACAGCCGAAGGAAAAGGAGAAGCCGTGAAGCCGCAGAGCCGGAGGATCTAAATGTAGATCCGTGGGACTGTTCTGTCTCACCTCTTGTTCTCTCGATTTCAGTATGCCCCTTTCACTGTCCTAGAACCCTGGTTTTAGAATGCATTTTTAAAAATTGCAAAGCCTTTTGATTTTCATTACCTGACTTTAGTTTTCAAATTGCTTTAGTTGGCAAAACAAAAAAACCAAAAAAAACCAACCCCCCCCCTTTTTTTTTTTGCCAGACTGGTGACTCATGCATCTAGTCACAGCACACTCAGGAGGCAGAGGCAGGGAAAGCTCCATGAATTTAAGGTCAGCCTGGTCTACATAGTGAGTTGTAGACCATCCAGGGCTATATAGTGAGTGCATGTTGGGGCAGGGGAAGGCAAGGAGAATTCAAATCCTTGAGTTGATTTTTGTTGTTTCAAGACAGGGTTTCACTGTAGACCAGACTGGCCTCGAACTCACAGAAATCTACCTGCCTCTGTCTCCTGGGTATTGGGATTAAAGGTGTGTACCACAGCTCCCAGCCTCAGTTGTAACTGTTGAAGAAACCCAGGTTGGAGTCCCAGCGCTCACATGGTAGCTCATAGCCATCTTTAACTCCAGTTCCAGGGACTCTGATCCCCTCTTCTTCTCTCCCAGGTATCAGACATGCGTGTAGTACACATACATACATGCGGGCAAAGCGCTCGTACACATAAAACGAGTCCATCTAAACAAAGGCGTTTTCCCACTGGCATACTTGCTCCTCTGTAGCGTGTCTGCTTTTCTGTCTTCCTCGGCCCCTTCATCTCCAGCCTGACGTCACATGTGTTCGTCTTTCCCAGGTTCTATACTCCAAGATGACTAAAAAGAACTGGAAGTCTTCTAAGACTTTGCCCTCACCTCGACTTGTTCCTGAGGGGAAGGATTTGAAATCTATCATCAACAACATCTTGAACGACAGAGAGGTGAATTGTGGGACAGCTATGCTCGTGGCAGGCCTGTTGGAATGGTTGGTTCCTGCCATGCAGGATGGGGCATGGGTAGGACATGAACATCCCTGGAGAGCTCCTCCCACCGAGTCAGTGTTTGCTTCTACACTAGAACAATAGCAGTAAGGGGCTGAAAAAAATGGCCCAGCAGTTAAGAGCTCATACTGCTCTCCCAGAGGACTGGAGTTCAGTTCCCAGAACCTATACCAAATGACTCAGAACTCTGTAACTGCAGCTCGAAGAGGTCCAGTGTCTCTGACACACATGTGCACCTCTTCACACACAGGAGCAGAATAGTCCACTGGAGTTCAGTCTTGGCACATACATGTGCCATATACACATACATGTAATTTTTGTTTGTTTTTCAAGACAGGGTTTCTCTGTGTAGCCCTGACTGTCTTGGGACTAGGTATGCAGACCAGGCTGTCCTCGAACTCACAGTGTGTTGGGGTTAAAGGCATATGGCACCACTGCCTGTTGATACACATAATTTTAAAGAATTAATAAAAAAATAGATCTTTAAAAAAATGAGTTCATTAAACTGGGCGTAGTGGGGTATACCTGTAATCCCATTGCTTGGGAGGCTGCTGCAGGAAGGTTACAAGCCTCTGCCTGGACTCCATAGTGAGACACTGCTTCTAAATAGCCAGGCAGAGGCTAGGCAGATGGCTCAGCTGTTAAGGGCATTTGCTACTCTTCTAGAGGACCCAAGTTTGGATCCCAGAACCCAGACCAGGTGGCTCACAATCATGTGTAGCTTTAGTTTCAGAGGAGTATGCCCTCTTCTGTCCTCCATGGGAACTGCACACAGGTGTTGCATATATCTACAGGTTTGCACATGCAAAACATCTATACATATGACATAAAATAAATGCTTTTAAAATAAAAAAGGTATGGCTGAGCAATAGAGTACTTGTCTAGAATTCACTAGTGGGGGGGGGTAGAGATGTGGCTCAGCGATAAAACCCCGACATAGCACACAGGAGGCTCTAGATCCAGTCCTTAGCCTTGAAAAATCACAAGCAAACCAAACAAAGAGAAGACTTAACTAGCTGTTCTGAACTAGGCTTTCTCACTTGAACCATGCAAACAAGAGATGGTTTGAGTGGTTGCCTCAAGGTTTTCCAGGCTATATAACCAGAGAAATCCTTTCATTCCATGAGGGGACATTAGGGCTTAATTTTTTTTTCTGGAACCTTAATTGAGAGAGCCTAGAGGGTGATTTCCTTGGCAGATCATATACTGTAATGGGAACTACACAGAGATCAGCATGGCCCCTGCCCAAGGATGACATGAAAATTTGTGAAACCTTCCATAATTTTTTAAAATAATTTATTTTTATTTTCTATGAATTGGTGTTTTTTTGCTTTCATGTATGTCTGATCCCCAGGAACTGGATCCCAGACAGTTGTGAGCTGCTATCTGGGTGCTAGGAATGGAATCTGTGCCCTCTTAAAGAGCAGCCAGTGCTCTTAACCCCCGAAGCATCTCTTCAGCCTCCACGGTTTTCTTAAAACCAAAAGACAAAAGAACTATGCTGGATGGTGGTGGCACACACCTCTAATCCCAGCACTTGGGAGGCAGAGGCAGGCAGATATCTATAAGTTAGAGGCCCAGCCTGGTCTATAGACTGAGTTCCAAGACAGGTTCCAAAACTAGAGAAACCTGGTCTTAAAAGACAAAACAAAACAACAAAACAAAACAAAAACAAAAGCAAAACAGAACAAAAAACCTAAAAGGGTTCTCTTGTAGCCTAGGGCTAAGGAGAGGTGGTTCCCCATCAGTGCCTTCCAGATGACTACCAGTAGGCAGAAACAGACCAAACCAATGCTCACTAATCCCTCAGTGTTGATTTTTAAGTGTTTGCTCATACTTCTCAGCATCTGTCTTTTTTCTCTTCAAGATTTATGAAAACATCAAGCATAATGTGACTGTCCTGAGTGACCGGCCCGAGATTCTATACCAGGAGTCTTATCATTTACAGAAGAAGCCTTTTGTGTGCGCCTACTCTCTGGATACCAACTATTTCGTCGCTTTAAACTGGTTGGAACAGTATGGAAAACAAATACAAGTAAAGCTACTTCAACTTTGTTTCTTCCTTTAGAATGCAATCTGTATGTCCTGTACCTAAAATGCCCTTGTTTCAGAGTGAGAGGGATGTCTCTGAACAAGCTCATGTTATTAATTTATTTATTTTTATTTTGTGCTCATGGTGTTTTGCCATGGGTGTTGGGTCCCCTGGAACTGGGATTACAGACAGTTGTGAGCCCTTTTGGGGTGCTGGGAATTGAACCTGGGTCCATTTGGAAGACCAACCAGTGCTCTTAACCACTGAGCCATCTCTCCAGCCCCAACTTTACATCATATATTCACTCATTTATTGAGACAGGGTCTTCCTATGTGTTTCAGGCTGCCTTCAAACTCACTATGTAGTCTGGCTTGTCCACCTCAATATCCTGGGTGCTGGATTACAGGCCTGTGCACCACACCTGTAAAATGAGCTCATTACCTGGCTCCAAGCTGGTTTGACCTAGATTAGCGACCCTTTTACACTGATAACTATCAGGCCCAAAGATTATGTGTTCATTATAAAGTGGACTGAAGGCCAACACAAGGGCCTTGGGCCAGGAACTTCTTTCATAAACCCAGTATCTAGTACTAGGAAACCTCCCAAACCAAATCTTTCCTTTGTCTCCAAGAGGAAATAGCCACTTTTTCTTACAGCACGCTCCAGGGAGATGCTCTGCCCCATGATCAGGTTTCTGTCTCCCACCTTCTTTTAGGCAATACTATGGATACAGGAAAAAAACGCAGAAAGAAAAAAGATGGTCAAGAAGATGAAATTTCCCATGAGGGCTGAAGTGCCGTCCATTAAATCAATGGTCCATGTGAGCTCCCATCGCCTGTTAGTAGCTTACTGCGATGACATGCGCCTGCGGCTTTTGGGAGACCATCACCAGGCATTCGTCACTCTGGGCACAGTGCCTTGTCGTTTCTCCATCAGCTGCCTCTGCTATGATTCAGAAACCGGGGTACTGTTTTCTGGAACTTTGGGAGCTGTGGTTACCTGGTTTATCTTAGCAAATGGCAAGGGCCTCCAGATGGCTCACAAAGTGAGTATGAGTGGTCAGGAGCTTGTACAGGACTTGTCTCTGAACGCGTCCCTGGGCTTCCTGATGGTGCTGTGTGAGAACATGGTGAGGGTCTTTACCCAGGAGGGTCGCGGCCAGCTTAAAGAAGTGAAGACATTCATTCCCCAAACCAGCGGCGTCTCCCTCACCTGCTCCTGTAGCTGTGGTCCACAGAACACCCTCTATGCTGGAAACGAGAATGGAGAGGTCCATGCTTGGGGTTTAGAGGACAGTAACTTCCGCCACAGTTTCAAGGCCCATTCGGCACCCGTGATGTGCGTCAACAGTCGGCCGGAGACGTACACCTTGTTCACTGCAGGGAGTGAGGGTTTGTTGAAGGAGTGGAACCTTGCTTCTGGGAATCTGCTGCGGCAGCTGAATATTGGCACGGATCTGCAACAACTGCGGTTTATTGATAACCAAACTTTCTTCTGCCAGAGCGCCAATACTTTCTCGCTGCACCACCTGCCCCACTTTTACAGGCTCTTCAACGTCTGTGGTTCTGCTCCGCAGAAGGTACAACGGGTCCACTGTGATCGTAACTGGATTCGTATCCTGTGTGCCACCGAGGACGGTTTACTGCGTTTCTTGTCTCCAGTAACAGGGGACCTCCTGGTTGTTACGTGGCCTCTACTTGTCATGGATAAGGCTGTGGCGTGGGCCTATCACTCAGAGAGAGAGGAACTCTTTGTGGCCATAGGCAGCCCAGAGGTGCTGGTGTTTGATGCCACACGTTCCCCGTGTACAGCCAAATATCTCCTGTGTACCTCAGAAAATTACAGAGATAAAGTAAAATGCTTGGCGTACGGGAGGTCCTATTTGGGCAAGAGTAAAAAAGGACTGATATTCTGTGGGCACGAGAGTGGCGTTGTGAGAATCTTGTCCCAGTACTGCTCTATTCGGAAAGAGAACACTATCCACTCCGGGCCGGTGCTGGCGTTGTCTACCCCGGAGGGTTTTGAAGAAAATCCCTTACTGTGTTCCTATGGCAAGGACAACTACATACAACTCACAAAGGTGGTGTGTTCAGGGAACGACCTGACCCTGGAGCCTGTCGATAAATTTCACTGCCTTTATCGCTTACGACACATGGTACTGTTGCCGGGTTCGGTGGGTGCCATCACCGAGCACTCCTGCTGGTTTCTCTGGCGCTATCAAGGTTTACAAACATCAGAATTCAAACGGAATTCTATGGTGAGAGAGACAAACTGCTTGCACGAATGCGCTGTCACTTCCTTTGACATCTGCCTCTCTCTGAAACTGTTTGTGACAGGAGCCACCGATGGGTCAGTCCGGGTCTGGGACTTCCGTGGGAAACTTGTAACTCAGTTTGACTCCGAACTGCATTTCTGTTCGCCCTGCTTTGCCAATAGTCGAGGTGACTTGCTTTTGACTTTCAACCAGAGCATCTATATAGTGTCGTGCCTGAAGTTGCTCCCTGCCACTCGGCTGATGCTCCTACATGCACTGAACATCGAAGATGAAATACTAGAAACCCCGAAGCCCTTCCTGCCTAGCTTCTTCTTCTCATTTGAATTGATATTTGTACCCAAATTTGTGCACCTGAAACAAAGGGTTCAGGAACTCCAGGGACTAGACACCCTTGTCAACAAACGGGCCATCGCTTTTGATGGCACCGTGCCCCATGTTGTCGAGGGGGGCAGACACATACCTATCGTGACTCACGAGAGACCTGGGTTGTTCTTTGTGGAGGAAAAATTTGCTGATGCACCTGACTCCAAGCAGAAGTATCCCTATGCCGTCCCTGCTCAGTTACACCTGCCTGCCTGGGATGGGCTGAATATCTACCGCATGTTCAAAAGCTTCTTTGGCTGCGGGCAGAAATGGCCCTTTGCTCCAGATTGCTACATCCCTAACTCAGTGGTCCGTGCCCGCCTTTGGCCTGACGGTACCCCGGTTTTCTTGCGCTATGATCTAAGTCTGTCCTACATAGAAAAAGATAAGGCTGCGCCTGGACCATTAAGATCCCGGTCCCTGTCATCTGTGAGTCTAGAAGATGTGGAAATGTCAACTAGACAACGAAAGGATGTGTACCAGGAGCAAAAAAGAGAATCCTATGGTATCCTTGAAAGCATGTCAACGAAAAGCTGGATGGGAAAAAAATTTAGTGATGGAATGGTAGAAAATTTGGTAGAGACCATTCTCAACCTCACAGTTTTCTGTTCGACAGAAAAATACAAGAAATATTTTAGTGCTCTGGCACAGATTTTCGCCAGTCACCAAATTACTCCCAAGATGCGCGTTGAGACAGCCTGCCGCCTGCTCAAAGATATAACCCATTACAACTCCAGTATCCGTGAGCTAGCCTGGGAGATGCTAGAGAAGCTGGGTTTCATAAGCAATGTCTTTACTATTCCGCTGACTACGGGGTTGATGGACAGCGAGAAGAGTGTGCGGACTAGGGTCTTATACCTTATGTCTAGATTTGTTGGCATCCAAACCAAATCCATGCTGTTACACCAGCTAAGACGACGAGATACCCTCCAAGAAATACAGTAAGTGGGATGGTGAGCGACCCTTCTTCTGATTTCTCTGTGTTCCTAGGATCTGGCTGCTCTCTGCCCCCATTTCACATTCACAGCCCCTTCTGGTTCCTTTTACTCCCCCTGTGCGCCACAATTCTGTGTGATTTCCATCAGTGCGACTTTTCCCCCATCATTTCCTTAACTGCTTTAAGATTCTTCAGAATAGCACTCAGTACAGGGCTGCACACCTGTAATCCCGGCATCCAGGGAGATGAGCAGGAGGATCACAAGTTCTAGACCACGTTTAAATTTATTTTTTCAGAGTTTAGTCCCACACATCTTTCAATCTAAGAATCTTGTGACACCATGACTTCCGTCTTTTTCACCTTTATTATTTTTAATTGCTCAATTTTTAAACCTCATACAAAATTTGATTACACGAATGTTGTCTCATAATTGGAGACTTTTCTCCTTTGTACACAATTATTCTTCCTCCCCACAGAAAGGCTACTTGTGAGCTCATCTGACAGCATAGATACTGAGGTCCTGACTGCAACAGAATAGTAGAATCACCTCAGTGATTTAAGTTGAAAGATGGACACTGGTAAATGGCTCTTATGCCCAGTATCAGGAATGTGTACAAATGCCTTTATTCAAAAACACTAAATTATCTGTAGGAATGGATTCTATATTGTGAACTGAAAACAGTAACTGATAGATGTAGGGGTCAGCCAGGCTTTACTCCCATCATTTTCTCCGTATGACTTCTCTGAAGTCAAAGGCCTGGAAGGCTGCCTTGCGTGTCCTGTCATGGCTCGTTGATGAGGGCAAAGCTCTGTTACAGGAGTTAAAGCATGCCACCCATTGCGCTCATTCCAGGGTCCTTCTCTTCTTGGGGATTTCTGTGACTGCAGCTTTGGCCACTCCACCAACATCCAGCAAAGCAGTTCTGACAACTTTTGTTGGATCAGTGATTCCCCTCTCCACCATTTTCACGAAATCAGCAAGCATAGCATCCTAACCAACTTCTCCATAGCCAAAGGTGCAAGGCGAGCACCGTTGCCTGCTGAGCCATGGCGCGGGTCTTTTACTTGCTTTTAAACAGCTTTGTATTTATTTATTCATAAGTGTATCTGTGTGTATATGCCATATGTGTAGTCTCTCGGGAGACTTGAAAGAGGGCGTCAAATATCCTAGAGCTGGGGTTACCACCAATTTGGATACTGGGAATAAAACTCTGGTTCTCTGAAGGAGCAGCAAGTGTTCTTAACTGCTGAATCATCTCTCCAGCCTACTTAAATTTGTTTTTGAAAGCGCAGTGTTGGGGACTATAGAGATGGCAAAGCAGTTAAGTATTTTTTTTCTCTTGTTTTTGTTTTGTTTTTTAACTCTAGCCCCACATTGGAAACCAAAGTGTTGTTGGTTGTTTTTAACTCTTTGACTCTTTTGGCTCTTTTGGGAGCCTGCCACACAGTTCACAAATAATCACACACGGAGACTTAATTTTTACTTATAAATGCCTGGCCTTAGCTTGGCTTATTTATAACCAGATTTTCTTAACTCAAATTATCCCATCTACTTTTGCCTCTGGGATTTTTCCTCTTTTCTTATTTCTGAAATCTTACTTTACTCTTACTCTGTGGCTGACCGTGTGGCTAAGTGGTTGGCCCCTTCGTTTCTTGATCCTTGATCTCTCTTGCTCCTCTTTTTCTCCTATTCATTCTCTCTGCCCGACAGCCCTGCCTATCCATTCTCTGCCTAGCTATTGGTTGTTCAGCTCTTTATTAGACCATCAGGTGTTTTAGACAGACACAGTAACTCAGCTTCACAGAGTTAAACAAATGCCGCATAAAAGAATACAACACAGGGCTGGAGAGATGGTTCACACCCACCTGAAATGGTACCCCAGAACACTGTATACATAATAAACAAACAAACAAATAAATAAATAAATAAATAAATTTTTTAAAAAAAGAATGCAACACATCCTTGCATCATTAAACAAATGTGTTCCACAGCATAAACAAATGTAACTAAATGTAATTAAAACAATATTCCACCACAGTTAAGAGCACATACAACTCTTGCTGGGGACCCAAGTTCAGTTCCCAACATTCACACCAGGTGACTCATAACTTCCTATAGCTCCAGTTTCAGGAGATCCAATACTTCTGATCTCTTCTGACACGTGTATTAATTTGTACATAGCAAAACACAGATACACAGATACATGCACATATATAATTAAAAAATAATAAAAAATAAGGCCTTGAAAGATGGCCCAGCAGTTGAGAACACTGTTGCTCTTCCAGAGGTCCTGAGTTCAATTCTCAGCACCCATATGGTAATTCACAATTGTCTATAACTGTAGTCCCATGAGCTCCTATGGCTTCTACTGGTGCATGGATGAACATGTAGACAAAACATCCATATACATAAGTAAATGAATACACCTTTAAAAAACAATAAAAAAATTTAAAAACAAGTCTGACAAACTTCTCTGTGAAGCAGGATATTCTGAAGGGCTGTCTGACCTTGTCTTGGTAAAGTTCAGCAGTCTTTTCTTTTGTGTTCTGCTTGTCCAATCAGGACAGTATACAGTATATATATAGTTGAGTGAGGCAAGGGCACTTTCTTGCCCAGTGGCTTACTTTTGCCATAAAGTAAATTTCATCTGGAGTTTCTTTGATGTCCATCATCTTCTCTGAAGTAAATTGGTGCTTCAAGGATCAGACATGTCTCATTGTCATAAAAAAGAAAAGAAACTATGTTATTAAAATACCTTAAATGCCATATTCTGTAGATCTCTGAAGTGTTTGAAGACAACCTGTCTATCTAAAATATATCTGTTTGACCTTGTGAACATACCTAATATGACTACAAGTTTGATTGTAATAACTACTAACTTGCATTTCTTTATATCCTAATTAGTTGGTAACAATAACTTTCAAGGACTAGAAATTTGCATTACATTGTTAAATGAGCTGTATAGGTACAACACCTTGAACAAAATTAGAAATGTATATACAGAATGTCCTAACAAAATTAATCTCAAATTTTGTATCAATATACAAAGATCCATATCAATGTAAAATATTTAAAACAAGTAGTTACTTATTTTTTTTTTGAGACAGGGTTTCTCTGTGTTGCTTTAGAGCCTGAATTAGAACTCACTATGTAGCCCAGAGTGGCCTCAAACTCACAGAGATTCACTTGTTCTGCCTCCCCAGTGCTTGGATGAAAGGTGTGCACCACCATTGTCCTGCCAAGTAGTTGCTTTTAAAAACTAGATTCAATAATTTACCCTTGGGGCTGGAGAGATGGCTCAGTGGTTAAGGGCACTCACTGATCTTCCAAAGGTCCTGAGTTCAATTCCCAGCATCCACATGGTAGCTCACAACTTTCTGATGGATGCTGTTATCTCATGTGCAGATGTAAGTGTATATAAAGTATTCATTTACATAAATAAATAAATCTAAAAAATAATCTACCCTTTTATTCTATCAGAGTTATATATTATCCTTTTTTCTTTTATCCTTTTTATCTTTTTCCTTTTCTTTTTCTTTTTTCTTTATCCTTTTTTCTTTTCACAAAGGGAGCCCTGAATCTAATCTCCTTTGTATAGCTTTTTCTCTTGACCATTACCAGTAATGACTTGTCCTAAACAATGACAAATATCCGTAACCCACTGAATGACCAAAAATCACCACCCCATCTCTTGAGAATGTGGGCATCATATTCTTAAACTTACTTCCTGCTGTATGGGGTGATGGGATCCTGAAAGAAAATTTGGGTTAATTGTTAAGTCCTGGGAGAGGTAGCTGTATCACTTGTTGTGCAGGCTCTGCATAATGGGAAAGTGCAGGGCTTGTCTCAAGTCCTGGCTAGAGAAGTCTGTTAGGCTGGATCATCTCAACTAGCCACTTGAAATTGTCCTGAGCAGTTCGTAGTTCAGAGCTGACCATTAGGTAGTGTTTGTCAGCTTAGCGGTGTTCCCATAGTCCTGGAGGAATGGTCGTTGTGGAGTCCCATCCTCCCCTGTTTGCTGTGGGAGCTCCTTGTATAGTGGTGAGTATCCCCACCTGTCATACAGGAGACCAGGGTTCAACTCCCCAACGGGGAGCCAGAAACTCATATGGGTTAAACAATGACCTTTAACGAAAGACAAACTACAGGCTTTAGAACAGCTGGTACAGGAGCAACTAGATGTTGGCCATATTGAGGAATCAACCAACCTTTGGAATTCTCCTGTATTTGTTGTTAAAAAGAAATCTGTAAAATGGAGAATGGTGACAGATCGAAGAGCTGTCAACAAGGTAATTCAACCTACGGGCCCTCTACAATCTGGAATTCCTTTGCCTTCTCTGTTACCAAAAGGATGGCCTCTTATAGTCGATTTAAAGGACTGTTTCTTTTCTATCACTGTTGGACGTGGTCATGGTGCATTGCAGAAAACTTAAACATTTTAAATGTCATATGCAGCAGATCTCAAAGAGGTTAGAGAATCAATATCTGTTATGTACATCCAGAGTACAAAAGCTTAATTCCCAGTTACCTGATAGAGACTCAAACCCTACAAAATCATGTACAGAAAGCTAGATTAAGCCTTATTCTAGAATTAGTTAGTACTCTATGTGACCATTACTATTATGACAGAAAGTTTAAAATATATATTAATCTTGTAAATTTTGAGATAATATTTACTTAAGAATCATTTTGAAGAGTCGAAATAAAACCAAAGGATTATGAAATTAGTGGCAATAATTTTGGTTTTTCTTTTGTCCTATATCAGGTGATTCTTCTGACATGAGATAGATTTTGGATTTCATTTTAATAAGCATGCTTGGGTTTGGAGAAGGAAAAAGCCATACTCCAACTCCTAAACCACCTTTAATTTTTAATTTTACTGGGACTACAAAAAGATCATTTGCATTATATGTCTGTAGAGATCAGCAGATCTAAAGAACTAAAAGAAAAGGAGTTTCTTGGGACATTTTTTGGATGATTTGTCTTTTTTTTTTAACCATGTG